CGGAGAGGAGGTTTCGGCGTTGGAGCAGAGAAGGCCAAGGCCACCTCCGCTGGAGCCGGCCGGAGGAGCGGGTCCAGCTTGTCTCTCCGCACAGAAGCACGCGGGCCTCGCGCAGCTCCGAGGGCTCTTGGCACCCCGGGCGAGCCCGCGGCAGCCCTGGCACAGCCAGCCCGTCCAGCGCTGCGGCTCCGTCCCTGGGGTCAGGCACCAGCGAGGTCGGCGAGTTCCCGTGGCCACCTCTCTGGCAGCGTGTCCCACGCCCTGGGCTGGCTGGCAAGGAGCGGTGGCAAACGGGCCTGGCTGGCGGGAACAGCGGAATGTCTTGGTGACATCCCAGGAGCCACAAACGGGACACTGGGAGACGTGGGGGAGGATGGTCCGTATCCGGAGCCGTTGCAGTGGGTGTGCCGGGGCCGCGTGCCGCTCCTGCCCCGGCAGCCCCAGCGCATCGTTCCGCTTCGGCCGCACCACTCACGATGGGAGAACCACCGCAGCCCCGGCCTCTCCTGGGGATGCCATGGCATGGCAAGGGGCCACAGCAGCGTCCAGGGTGGCCTGGGGCTGTCAGGGCACGGCCCACGGCGTGCCACGAGATGGCACTGCTACGGCACACTCCACACGCGCTGCGGCGCCCAGGCCCACGCCGCTGCGTCCAGCTGGCAGCAGGGATGTCCATCAGCTGCAGGGATGTCCCTCGGGCTGCAGCAACGTCCAGCCAGCTGCGGTGACATCTGTGGTGTGCAGGGACACGTAAATAGGAATTTTCACCATAACCAGAAATGTTAGTTATGATGGTACCAGCTTGTGTAAATGAGGCCTGCAAAGGGGAATCTTTCTGACTAGCTGCTCTATGCGCAGGATGAGTGTGGTCATGTTTGTGTTAGCACAGTTTTAGGGGAGGGGGGTGAATCCTACCTGGGACGGTTACTGACGTGGGGTCTGGTGGTGTCGGCAGGCTCACTGGGCATGGCCCTGCCTGGGGCAGGGGGATGACATCACAGCTCAGGGTGCTGCCAAGCCCAATTCTTACCTCAGTCTTCTGCTTGTTGTGTCGTCCCGGCACGGGCCGGGGAGTGCGGCTGCGTGGCTGCGTGGCTGCACGCCCTGGCCCGGGCTGCCATCGGGCAGTGCCCCACCGTTCCCTCTGTCTTGTTTTGCCCTGCAGTACGACTACAGCTTCCGGACGGAGCAGAGTGCGGCGGCCCGCCTGCCGCCCAGCCCTACCAGGTGCCCGCCAGTCCCGCAGTCCTGAGAGGGACCGCCGGCGCTGGAGCAGGTGTGTGTGTGCATACTACTGAGCAGGACGCGGCGCCAGGGCCGTCCCGGCAGACACCCGCTCGTCCGGCCATCACCGCCCGCCCTGCGCTGCACCACCTCCTCCTGCACACGCCGCTCCACGCGTTGGGACTGCGCAGCCCTTCGGCAGCTGCCCCCACCCTCCCTTGCTGCTGCGGACGTCTCTCCACGTGAGTACGTGACTGGGAGCCTGACGGCAGCCCCTTGGTTGTCCTCACTTCCTAACCCCTGCTGCAGGACAGTCACCAAAACCAGAGCTGTAACAAACTGCTGTGAACAGCAAGCCGTGAGCTCGCAGACCATCAAGAAACGCTCAGCAGTGAGCCCTAAAAGTAAGGAAGAGTAAAAGATACGGCTGGTTAATCTGCAAGCCCCCGGGCATCCCGCCTGAGCTGACGTGGAGCTGATGGGCTCTCGACACCTCGCGGCGGGAGGCCCCTGCAGCACTCGGTCCAACGGGCAGCACCGAGCCACGGTGGATGCCCTGTCTGCCTCCACCGAGGTCTGGGCACACAGCAGCCCCGCCACGGCCGGGATCAACCCCAGACTGTGATCACTTGTTTTTGCTGTAGGCTGGCGGAGCCAGGGTTGCTTGCTCAGACCTGCCTTGGCCTCTCTCCCCGGGCACTGGCAAGGCGGAGGGGTGCAGAGAGCACAAGCTGCACTGCAGTTCCCAAGGTGAAGCTCCTCCACTTTGCACAGCGTGTCTGTGTGTCCGTCAGGACCTGGAGCAACAAACATCCTGTATTTCTTTCCGGGGTGGATGCTGGCAGCAGCCCAGGCAGACCCTGGCAGCACCCCGCTGACCCCTGGCCAAGCTGCCTGCGGAGCTGGGGCCCTGCTGACAATGTGGATGCTGTCACCTGCCCGTCACTTTGGACAATTTTCTAATATTTGCCCCGCTAGCTGCTAAAACATAAGAGATGTGCCTGTTCCCTTGTGCACTCACGGGGAAGCACTGAACTCTGACGTAGTGCAGGATGAGAGTGGGATGCATTAAACCCTGACCTCAGCCTCCTTGTGATCGCTGACCTTAGCTCGCTCCCGAGTCAAATGCATGTCTTGGAGAAGTCTGTTGCTGTAATAAGTTATTTAGAAGTGCCCATCTGACTCCGTGCTGCTTTTTCAAGTCTCTACTGTAGAACAAAGCTACATCATGGCAGCAAAATGGCAATTTTTAAGTTAGTGTTAAAACGTACAACTTTTTGTATTGTAAAATACTGATTACCTAACCCTATTGAAATGCAATTGCCATAGTAACAAATAACAGTATTGTTGCTCTCAGTCTGGGTCATATGTATGCCCTGACCTGCTTTGCACTGCTTTTGATTGATCTTGCATTTTCTAGTTGGACAGAATGGTGACTAACAGTAGGTTTTGTACTGTCAGCTTGTATTTTTTATTTGTACATATGTAAAATATTTCTTGTCCAAAGATTCATTTCTGGTTTTAAGGCACCATACCATATTGCTGGGATAATGAGCACAAAATACCATAACATTCAGGACAGACCAATTCCAAGTCTTTGCTCCAACTTGTTCCAGTCAGGTAAATCATTTTCTAAAACTGCCTCTGTAAAGCAAGGCTGTGCGATTGGAAAGCAGGGGCTGATTTCATTGTAGGTGTGTCATATCTGGGCGAAAGAATTAAAGCTAATGCCATTTGAACCAGCTCTGGAGGTTTGGGTGACCCCCTGGAAGTGCTCGTTTACTTGGAGGTTGCAGCACCAGTTTTAGTTCTTATTTATCCTGCAGGAAAGCAAAGCCAGACCTCACTGCCAAGCTTCACAAAGGCTAGATTGATGATGCCGACATCGACAAATGAACATACCATGGCAGCCTGGTCATTCAGCTCAGGTTCACTTGAAGTTCAAATCCACTCCATGCTGTAGTACTATGCCCATCTCATCCATCTTTTGTCTTTCTATTTTTCTGCTCGTAATTTGTTCTGTAGTTTTCTGTGGCATCCGTTTATAGCTTCTCGTGTGGCTTAGTGGACACTGCAGGTAGGTAGAAGCCATCTGCGTGGTGCACTCCTCACAGCTTTGGGATGAAGGACCTGCAGAGAGCTGACGTTCCCTGTTACTGGTGGTGGAGGAGTGAGGGTTGCAGGCTGGTACACGGCAGCCAGCGCAGCCTCTGCAGGGCTCCAGGGGCAGTTCCTGCCACCAGGAGATGGGGAGACAGCTGCCAGGACCCCCTCCTCGAGCTGTGTCTTCCCGTGCCAAGGTCAGGGCTGACTGCACGGCAGCCGGAGTGCTCAGTGAGGAGCAGGTTCGGATAGCTGCCGAGCCCCGCATTCAGTGGGGCACTCCCCAGGTATGTCTTGGAAAAATGGGTGCATAGCTTCGAGTCCCTTCCTGTGAGATTTAGCTTAGAGAGCATCAGTAGATAAAATTGGTGCTTTAAATATTTATAGCAACAGTTAATGTTTGCTCAGCCTTCTTAGAGATAGTGAGCTCACCTTTCTCTTCCATGACCTACAAGAAACACTGGATGGCTCAAAACGCTGACAGGACATGCAGCTGGGACAAGCATCTAAGAAATCTTCAGGATATATTTGTATAGTTGGTTCTCACTCTTCCCTCTCTTACACTGGGCTAGCAAAGCTGCTTCAGGGGTGCATCTGCAAAGAAACTTGAGAGAGAGTTTGATCTTCACAGTGTGTTTCTGCACTGTGGCACTGCAAGGATACCCTGTACTGAAAGCATGAATAGTACAAATGCAGTTCTTGTGGTACAAATGCAATAGAGGTGTTTTGAGCAAAGAGCTACAGCTGCTGAGAGCCAGCTGAGCTGTCAGACCTGCTAACCGAAGGCTGGAAATCTGGGCATTTCCAAAGGGGAGAGGGCTCAAAGCCAGTGCTTGGAAGCACAGTGAGACACATGGCACAGGGTGGCTGACTGCATGTGTTGTCTTCTCAGTCCGCCGATTATAGGAAGCTTCTTTATTGCACCTCTGAATTCCCAAGATCTTGGGCATCAGGTCAGCATTTCCACAGACAGGTTTTATTTGCTGTTCCATAACTTTTGTATTCACGGCAACTCATTGCAAGGCTGGTCCTTGCATGCTCACAGCAAGTCCTCCCTGTTGGTATGTCCCATAGGCACTACCAGCATCTCTCTGCATCTTCCTCCTCCCTGTCCAAACGGTGACTGTGGTAGCATTGGCCCAGGCAATAAATATTCACGGAGCCTGATGTTGATGTTGTCTGGCTGTGGAGAAGCCTTCTGGAGCATAAGAGGAGGGGATGAGTCAATGGAAAGCAACAGAAATGGATTTGCAGAGCTTTACCAGATGTGCTTGGCTACCTTGCCTGTATTTCTAGAACAAAACTAGTCTCTAGGTAGCTTAATCTTGTGGCTGATGGAGAAATTAGTTTGCCAAATTATCATACGTCTGCAACAGAGACAGAAAAGCAGCAGTGAGGGGTTTACTTACTGTAAAATACACTTTCTGATGTGAATTAGTAGTGACACACTGCCTCCTGGATTTCTCACGGCAAAGAGCGGGTAGCGCACAGAGATGACTTGTGGGCCATCCAGGCCAGGCAGTGCTGTCTAATGTGTTAACAATGGAGAGGCAAGAAATTAGTCCAGAAAGTAATGTAGAGTGTGAACTTTGTGATAAAATTCAAGTGTGGACAGTTGTAGCAGGTGTCTTCCCTGTGGGAGCATCTCATAGCTGTAGTTACATAGGAATAAACTTTGTCAGACTTTTTTCCTTTGACTGTCACTGAGTTTGCCCGCGGTGTTTGTAGGAGAGGATCCCCCGCGAGCCTCCTGTGTAGTGAGAGGTTGTTGGTAGTCTGTAGCTTTGGGCTTGTTTGGTTTCACACCTGCCCCTGCCCCCACCGGTTTCCTGAGCTCTCCAGACCAAACGCATGCACCGCAGAGCCTGGAGAAAGTCCCAACGTGGGCACAGCACGTGCCAGGTGGATGCTGGTGGTGAGGGCGTGCGTCCGCAGGTCTGGGCACCTCCTCTTCAGTGGGGCCCTAAAAATCTCCTTGGGGGAGGGAAAACGGGATGCGGCGGCTTTGGAGCTGGCCGGTCCCACGTTGGCCTTCACCTCCCCACTGCCCTCAGGCAACGCGGGGTCTGTCTCCCCAGATCTGCCCACCGGCCACTCTCCCAAAGCAGCCCCAGGAGCCTGGCCAGGGTGGCAGCGGGCACGTCTCACAGGTGCCAGCAGAGCAGCTCACCGGAGAGCCGTTCCCACTCCTCCTGAAGGGCATGCGCATCTCGCTGCATTCAAATAATTACCTCAGCCTTCGAGCCTTGACGAACGGACGGGAATCCCTCCCGGCAGCGGGGCAGCCGAGCGGTGTTGGTGTTAGTTATCCTAAGCCATAAAACTCTGACAGCGTTGCAGTAGGGAGGGTGCTCCTCTGCTCATGAAAAAGCTCAGTAAGGTGCTGCTCAATTCATTCAATACAGGGAAACCAAACAGTTTGGATATTCTGGTCATTTATTGTGAAATTGTTTCCTAACAGCAAGAGTTTTAAATGTCATCATGCAAATGGAAGACAAACCTTTTATGCAGTTGCAAAGTGTTTTTTTAAGATGCTATGCATTTTGTTGGGTTATTGAAAGTGAATTTACTGTGCATTAATCTTATGAATGTTACTACGTTTTATATTTATTTTAGATGACCCTCCTGTATTTTACAAAGGGAAGTTTCATTGTGTGATAACTTAGTCTGTATTCTTAATATAATTTGTTAAATAAAACTTGGTTTAATCAGTTTATTCTCTGTGCTTTGTGTTTTAAATTTTGGAGTTCAAGAAGCTTAAAACACTGCAGCTCTGACTTAGGGGAGTGGAAAGGGGCATCCCTTGGGACCAGCGGCTCTTTTCCCTCTGCACCATTGTTGCATTGACTTCCTCAGATCCCAAACCTGGATGTTTTGAAAGTAGTTAAAAACATCAGGAGGAATGAAATGTGAGTCAGTGCTTATTCTGAACTGAGCCGCCATGTAGCGGTTGTAGCTGTGGCGCCATGAACTGATTCTGTTTCTTGATGTGATTACAGGTTTGCTTGGTACAGGTAATGCTTCTTACAGTGGGCTTGCCTGCTTCCACAGGCACTGGGCTTTGTACCCTGACGGATGTTCGTTCAGGAATGAGAATGGTGCGGGGTCGGCCTTACACACTGCGAGGGTACAAAGCCGGATTTGTTGCCTGGTGGATGTTTCCAGTGGTGTCCTGCAGATGTGAGCGTTCCTTCCTTCCCATGTCCTGTCCACTTCTGGAAGAAAATAGCATCACACATGTCAGTCCTTGGACTGGAGAGTCTCAGTAAAGAACAGGGATTGCAGGCTTTTGTGTGAGAGACTTGCTTACAAGGTGCTTTTTCCTCTGCCACAGCTGAGCAGATTGCCTTTTGCTCCTGCTTGGGGCTGACAGGGACTTTTTGAGCACTTTTGGTGGGACAAGGACCGAGACCAGAGACACCTTTTCCTCTGCTCTCAAGCTGCCCAGGAAGGTGAAGGACACTGCAAAATATGGGACCTGATTTTAGGCACAGGAGGAATAAAGAAATGGGAGCAGAGGCATCGTTAGAGTTGGACCAGGGGCTGCGAAGCCTCCGAGGAGGAGCTGGCGAACAGTGGTGACTGCCTGCAGGGCTGGCCGGTCTCTCATCTGACCAAAGCAGCTACAGTCTGATCATGGATCTGAAGGGTCAACTTCAGAGGCGGCAGCATGTTCCCCCTGTAAGTAATTTGCTTTTGTTTGTGTTGTTTTGTCCTTGGAGATCAGATATAAAAAGCCTTGGAAAATCTGTCCAAAATGTCTCTCTCAAAAGGTATGCTGCAAAGTCAAAACACAGAAGGCAAAATAGCTCAACTTAAGCGTTTTCTGGAGTGTAAGGGACCACACGTGATGTCCACACTGCCAGGTCCCAAATATATGCGGCAATAAGTGTGTCACTACAGTAAATGATGGCAACGTCAGTGAAACAACTTGTTTATCCTCCATAAAGATTAACAACTTTAGTCACTCATAATTATCAACTGCAAAATTTGCATTGTGTGTAATTATGAGGAGGTCAAGTTAAAGTCATGGAGTCAGCCTCAAAGCTTGGAAACACCAGCGCAGGCTTGACTTGGCAGCACAGGCTTTCTTTGAACTAACCATTTTTAACATGTACGCACTTGTGCATGGCCAGTCCTTCCCCCAGCCTTTCTGTATAGATGTGCTTCCCTGTGCCAGGGATGCTGGTGCCGCCGCAGCTCGGGGCAGTGATGGCTCTCGCCAGGAGCTCTTGGCGTTCCAGCCGAAGCAGCAACGGACTGCTGCAGCCACATGCAGCAGGTGACAGCAGCGTGCAGTGAGAGGCAGCAGCGTGCAGTGTGACAGCAGCATGCAGCAGGTGACAGCAGTGGGCAGCTTGCGTGGGGCTGCACGATACCTCACCACAGCCGCTGGCCCCCCGGGTCCCTGGCCACTGGCAGCACGCAGGGCTTTTGGGCAGGACTTTCTCGCCTGGAGGCCAACCTAGCAGCCGCTCTCTCATGCAGCGTTTTGGCTCAGAGCTGACGCACCAAGGATGGAGGCTGCTCATGGGCCAGGTGGGAGCGTTTCTGCAGGCTAAGTGGCCCTGCCCAGCTCAGGGCTCCGCAGTCTCATTTTTTAGAAATATTACAAACTGGGATTCTGCACAAATAAACAGGGTTTTATAATCAGCTCTGAAATATGTCCATGTGCTAGGAGGCAGTTAAGGGTGGAAGCGCGAGTTGCAGGGGCGGTGCTGTGCTTTTATGACCAACGGTCTGTCCTGCGTGGCCCTGCTTTGCTCACGCTCGGACGAGCACCGAGCGCTCTAAGGGCACCTCAGGGACGCTGCCGGGACGCGCCTCGGCTCGAGCGATGGGAGACGGCGCCTGGTGTCCATGTGGTGCCGGAGGGTGCAGTCCCTTTGGCCGCCTCACAGCAGTGGGGAGACACCTCATTACTGGGCAGGACAGGGCGAAACCTGGCAAAAGAAATACCTGGCGCAGGCACTGTGCCGGCGGCAGCAAGGGCAGCGCTCGGCTCGGGGCAGAGCCCTTCCCGTCAGGCGCGGGCAGGCGGCCGCAGGGCTCCCAGCTGCGGTGGCTGCCGGGCTGGAATTGCTGCGGGCAGGCAGGTGCCTGCATGGCCGGTGGCAGCAAGCCCCTGCGGGAGAAACGGACTTCTCGACTAGGGAGAGGCTGATACCACGCCACTAAAACTGACAATTGTTATTCTTTGTGCTAAATTATTCTTCTGAACTTGTCCCAAGCTGGTGGTGCACAATACGACCTCTGGCATCTTCTCTCACCCCAGCCAGTATTTCTGTCTTGCTTATTTTGAGTGGTCTTTGAATTAGAGATTAATACCCAAGTTCCCGACATTCTCTTCAGGCACATGTTTATATAACCTCCTTTTGAAAGTGAGTACTACTTGTTCACCGAAAACTAAGAAACTGCATCTTAGAGCTGCTGTGAGAGCCGTCACTGGCACCTGATTGAATATCCCGGCCCGGGAGGAGGCAGCGCGGGGATGACATAAACCAGAGTGGGCCCGTCCCGCGTGCCAGCTCGCGTCTTCCCGTGTCGGTGTGGGGCGGGCAGGCACGTGAGCTGCCTCAGAGCCATCGCTGAGTGGGTGATAGCTGCGTACATCAAAGCCACTTCTGCCTAATTACCTGTTGCCACTGGACATGGGCTCTGTTCTGTGGCACGGGAAGCCGCATGGGGCTGCGCATCTGCTGCCTGGAAATACAGCTAAGCTTCCAGGCACGCCTGCCGGGGAGGACCCTCATCCCCCAACCCTTGTGTTTGTTTGTGGTTGGACGCAGGACCACTCTCATACAGCACAAGCTGCCCTTCCTCCCACTGCTGGTGAACAGCACTCCTCCCCCCATGAGGCCTCTGGGATCGCTGTGCTGTTGAAATACTCCAGACTTTACCGAAATCCCAGTATTTCTGCTCAGCCTCTGATCTTTGCATTTCCTAATTCAGCTGCTCAGAATTTGGGGGTAATTATTGAATGTTATTAAAAAAAAATGTAATTCTTCACCAAAGCGCTCTGCCATTTCTGCTGCATTTCTTCTGAAACAGCCGTAATCTAAAGAGTTGCTGTTACTGGTGGTGATGAGCTGGAAGGGGGTCTCCATTGTGAGGAGCAAGTGATGCTCAAAGCCTGGGGAAGTGAAGACATCCTCCTCCCTCTTCCCTGCCTGCTTCAAGGAGACATCCCTGTCTGCCCCTCTAGACATTGTGTGATGCTTTGGCTGGAGGTATTTTGCTCACAGACCAAAGCTGGAGCATGGACACGGTGTTCAAAAGCACAAATTAGCGGAGATGATAAAAAAAGACAGAAAGAAAACCCAGAGCCTCACCTGCTGCATCCCTCGGTGCTGTCAGAGGCCAAGCCAGTACCTGAACAGCATTTCTTTTTGTTATGAAAACATAAATCTCCACCCATTGAACCATCTTTTCCCCCTCAGGTAGAACAATATTCTCTGATATTTCAGGTCCTTCTCCTGCATTTGTCCCTTGTTGGACAAACTAAATTTAAATTTGTCTGCAAAGGGTTTTTTGATGCCAAGCAGAGAGCTCAGCTGGTGCCGAGAGGGGCCATCGCCACGAGCCCTGCGCAGGGTCTCAGCCGGCGCACGTACCACAACACAGAGGCCCGGGCGGCTGACAGCACCGACCCGCCGGCCCATCGGCTTCTCCAGGAACTTGGCGTTCACTCAATGCAGCCCCTCCGCGTTGCACCAAAGGTCCCGGCTATCTGCGAGGGCTGACCCACCTGCCCAGGAGCATCCCTGGGCGGGTGTGTAGGGTGAGCCTGGAGCTGGTGTACATGGTCCATCATTCATGGAATTTGTTTTCTAAGGAAAATTTCTAATTTCTAATTTCTTCTGCTCTGCTTAGTGCTCCCGGCACCGGGAGCGGCCGTTTGTCTCTGCCGAGGTGTCTCCTGGCCATTCCTGCCCCAAGGAAATCCTCCTTTTGTCAAAGGGGGAAGCAGCAGGCGCAAGGGCTGGAAGGAGCCAGCCACGGTCCCTGCGGCGTTAGGCAGTTGTGTCAGGCTTTGTGTGCCTGTGGCTTTGGTGGTGGTGTTTGTTTTCTTTTCTCCTCTCCCTCCTACAGCTTTAAAAATTAACTTGCCTGGGGAGTTTCTCAAAATCTTTTCCTTTCTCTGAAATGATGGATAAGCCATGTAACTGATTGTCATGGCCCTGGAGAGGATAAACATCTTCTGCAGTTTAAAATAAAACCTCCTCACTTCTTGGTTAATAAGTGTTGAAAGAAGCATAAATAGAAATAACACAGGATTTCCATGACTAACAAGATGACCACATCAGTGAATGTTGTTTGGGGTTAAAAATGACTCAGCTTTTGCTTCCCTAGGGTAAGATGTTTTATCCCAGCGCAGGAAAGGCTGCCAACAGTACTTTGAAGGTCTGGCAAACTCAACGTAGCCTGGATTGTGAACTGGGAAGTGTTTGAATGCATAGTTAAAAAAAAAGGTCCTAAACTCTGCTCCATGTGTGCAGATTTCTCGAAGATAAAGGAGCCCACAGCTTTATCCAGCTTGTGCTGACTCTTTTCTTTTCAAAAGCTTTTTCAGATGTTTTCACTTTTCTGCTTGCTTTGTTGAAAGATGTAAAAATTTAAGACAACCACAAAGTAAACATTTCAAAACTTTCTATTCTGAAAATTAGTGACATTTTCAAAATCCCTTGAATTCCATTTCTGCACTATCAGAA